TTTTACAAAAAGGTCACTGTCAAGAACCAATTTTGTGATTTTACCTTTTCTGTTTATGCTTTATATTTTTTGGTATAATTTTCTTTTAGTCTCCCTACTTTTAGCATATTTTTACACTTTGGTCATGTGTAGTAATCTGTTAATTTTTTTAAACTTTGTGGACTGATTTTGTAATTTTTCCTTTTTTTATTTTAACAGGTTTTAGGCTTAAATAAATGGTTTATTCTCCTTTAGGTCCCTCTAATTTCATACGTGTTTTTTTTATTTTTGTCCCTAATCTGTTTTTATTTTATTTCGATTTAGACTTTAAATTTTAATTTGTTTTAATTTAGCCCTTTTATGTTTAATTTATTCTCTTTTAGCTTGGTAATTTGACATTTGTGCAATCTGGTGCTAATGCATGTTTATTTTATTTTTTTTACTGTTTTTTTTTATTTTTTTTTATTTTTTATTTTTATTTTATTATTTTAATTATGTTTATTAATTGTTTTGTTGTTTTATTGTTTTAATTCTTAGATTTGATTTTAAATTAGATTAATATTTGAATCGAACTTAGAAATTAGGATGACACTCTAGTTTAATTAGGGAGCAATTCGAGTTGATTTTTCACATAAAATGTCTGATTACTCGAATCGATTAATCGACCTTTTAAAATTTATTAATAATTAATATTTTCTAAAAAATACTTTAGGTTTAATAATTTAGATAATAATTAGGATTTAATTAGTCTTCAACCTTAGAAATTATTAATTTAGGTCGTTAAGCTTTTAAGTCTTTTAGAACTCGATATTTTAGATCTTGACCTTTTAGTCCCTGAATTTCGATTAGAGCCTTAATATTGACATAATTAAATAGGTTAAATAGAGCCTCCACTTTTAATTAGACTTCAAACTAGTCTTTTAATTTAGGGAATTATTCGAGTTGGCCCTTGCCTAAATACTCGAGGGACCATCTCGATTATTCGATTCGATTATTCGATTCGATAATTGATTAAAATCAAATAGGATTAATATTAGAGCCTATATTTTTATGTTTGAGCTTCTAGGTTCCTTTAATTTCATAATTTGACACCTTAAGCTAGAAAAACCTTTAATTTACCTTAGCTTAATTAGGATTAAATAAAAAATTATTTGATTCTATTGTTTTTTTTAACTTAAGACAATGTTCACTTATTAGGGAATTAATTGTACATCTCCCACAAGTATGCTCAGGGGGTGATTACTGGTGATTCCCGAAATAGGTCGACATCCTTTTCAAAGACCGCATCATGATTTTCTAAAAACAAGACAATATTCAATTATTAGGCACAATAGATGATCTCCCGCATTTACACTTGGGAGCGAATGTTATCGGTCTCAATAAACGAATATATTTTTCATCTTTGCATCCGTAATGATATTCAAATTAAATAAAGATCAAACTCAAAATTTTCGATTTAAAATGTAGGGTAATCAACTAGGTACCAAATTTTGGGAGCTTGTGGGGGTGTTAATCCTTCCCCACGTGTAACTGACTCCCGAACCTGATTTTTGGATTTTCGCAGACCTTAAAAATTTTATTTTGATAAAAATAAAATGTTTTATTAAAATCATCCGGTTTTTATGGTGTCCCAATCAAACCTTAAATGATTGGTGGCGACTCCTAACATTTCGAAACACTTTTCATAGAGAAAACCCCCGAGTCGATATCAATTTTTCCCGCTTGGGCGAAAAACGATGTCAACAGTGTGTGAGGAAAAGCGAAAATAAAACAAACGGCACCAAACAGAAAACTCAAAACCTTGAATAATTATTTACTCTGAAAACATTAGCAAACGAATCAGTACAAGTATTTAGTGGTTAATCAAATTACAAGTGAAAAATTATTCAAACCACAGAAGGGATCAAAAATCAAATTAGAGCGAACTTTTAATTTTCATTTGCAAAAGCAATTAATTAGTCGACTAATGACCTGACTCTCTAAAAAAAGGTTCCTAGCGGAGTCGCCAAGTTGTCGAAACGATTTTTTTTTAGGGGAAAAAGGGAGTCTCGTTTTAAATTAATTCTTTGATGACCAGTTAATGAAAAAATATGGTTCGAGTAGTTGCCACCAATCCTTGATTAGGGTGTGATTGGGCAACCAAAAACGTATTTGCTATTCTAATAAAATATTAATTTTAATTAAAACGATAAACTTGCGGTATGCGTTACCAAAATTCGAGTTCGGGAGTCGGTTACATGAGGGGAATGATTAGCACCCCCACAACGCCCTTGGTACCTAGTATATTAATTAATTGTCTTTACAATGAGATTTACAAGTTCGAGTCTAATTTTACTTAAGATCCCCTAAAAATAATATTCTTTGAATTTTTGGATAAAACATAATAATATTTAATTATTTCCTATCGAGAAGAATTGATCTCTTATACCTTGAAGCAATCAATTCTTACTCCAATCGAAATAAAGAAATCTTAAAATTCCATTCTAAAGTTCACTATTAATTCAAAATAACAACACCCCAAAATAATTTAAGAGAGAAAATAATAATATCTAATTATTTTCTATCAAGAATAAACGACCTCTCATACCTTAAAACAATCATTTATTACTCCTACCAAAATGAAAAGATATTATTATTCTCAATTTCGATTCGAATGTTATTATTTTGCAAACCCATTGGAAATCACATGCAAAAGTAAAACAAATTAAAAGTCTATCAAGCAATTAATTAATTAATTAATCATTTTACCAATATTTAATGAGACTAAGGATGTTCAATTATTTAAATATCTCGAGACGAGACCTTAGATTCGATCTAAGATTCTTTTCTCGATGAATTTAATTAAAAGAACATGATCTTTTCCCAATCCCCAATTTTTAAAATGAATTCAATTTAATTTGTGTCACTAAATGAGATAGACTTTCATTTTAAAATCATCGAAAGTAACTTTCTTATACATTAAGACAAACATTTTATGATAATATTAAAATGATCGAATATTACCCTTAGTCAATTTATTTCGATTCGAGTCAAGTGATGCTTATGAGGGTATCATGCAAAATTAATTAGGACTAAAATGAACTAACATGCAAGCAAAATGCAAAAATTAAAATTAAAATTAAAATTAAAATAGAAATAGGACTAAAACATAAACAATCAAACCATCATGCCAAAATTGAAACAAAATAAAGTATACAAGTGACAAAAATGAATATTTTCAATATTAAGTGCTAAAATTATAAAGAATAAAAATAAATAAAACATGGGGGTAAATTAAAATAAATTAAAATTGCATGCCAAATTAAAATAAATAAAAAACATATTTGGGGTTTAAAATATACACATACAGAAACTTTAGGGACTATTTCCTAAATATTTCATTTATTTTTGCCTAAATTATACATTCGAAATAAAAAGGGGGAAATTACTAAATCAATCCCTAAGATTTTTTTTAAAAATAAAACAGTCACTGCACATGACAAAAATGCAAAACACGCATAAACATATAGAGAGACTAAAAGGAAAATATCCCTAAAAAATAGCATGCATAAAAGTGGGTAAATTATAAAAATAGTCCCTACAGGCGATCAACATGCAAAAACATGGCTAAACTAGGGGGATTAAATAGAAATTAAACAAAAAATTACAAAGCATAAACATAAATGGGTAAATTATGAAATAGGTCCCTACACATGACCTTTTTACAAAAAAACTAAAAGTAGGGGGGACTAAACAACAAATTTCCCCGAAACTTCCTTTATAAATACAATTTTAATTTTTTTTAATTCATTTCAACCGATTTTCCTAAAAAAATCTTTTTTTTTTCTCTGAAAGCAATCGGCCGGCCCACTGTCGGCCACCCTAATCCTCCTTCGACTGCCACTCCAGCCGTCGCACATGGTGGCCGAAAATCCCAAATTTACCCAAAGTCCTCCTAAAATACATATCTACCCACCTAAATGCCTATTTAAGGCTAAAAATACCTAGAAACTCCCAAAACAACCCTAGAAGCTAACCTCAACCGCTCAACTTTTCATCTCCTCGCATGCTCTGGCCGCCGTTAAAACGAATCGACGACTTTGGTAACCACTCAACCCTTATACTCTCGGCTCTAACCTACTCTTACATGCAAGCAGTTTTTTTTTTGCTATATTTTTTCTTATTCGAAACTAAGAATAAATAAATATAGAAAATATACCTTAAAATTTCTTTGATTTTATTGCTTTGCGAAATTGAAGGGATCAAACTTTTTTTATAGATGTGGTTTAGGGTTTATATAAGCCCTAATTTTACATATTTTTTTCTCTTTTTTCTCTATGAAATGATTACCCTGTTGCATGTTTGGGTCTTGTTGATTTGGGGTGTACTGATATGGTAGGGGACCCAGTTGGTGGCAACCGACTGGTGGAGATGGACGGTCGGTAGAGGCTCGATATGGATCGTTGGATGGGTCCATTTCTGACGGTTCTCGTGAGAGACAGCACCTAAAGGGTTATGAAATACTAATAGTAACTAATCTGGACCATTGGATCTCTCACAGATCCAACGGCTGGGATGATGCAGCGCTGGGCAATGAAGCAAGAAACCCTAGCGAACTGGGTTTCCAAGCGGGCTTCACTCTTGCTAATGGGTTTCGGGTTTGGGTCAGATTGTAACTTGGGTGTTTGGTACTGGGCCAATTTGCTTCCGGGTCGGGTCAGATTGGTGTTTCTCTTGTACTAGGTCAGGCTGTCATTTGGGCGGCCTACTGTATTTGTAATTTGGGTATGTTAAAAAAAATAAAAATGAAGTCCATATTGGCAGGTTGAGTCAAGTTCACTTTTTCTCAGACTTTTTCTACGTATGAAATGAGATTTAATCCTGGTGAAATCTATTGCCCAACTGATCCTTATTAAATTATTGTTTTGTCATTTATTATTCAACCAATTAGAATGATAAAAATATGGTTTTTTTTCAGATTTTTTTTCCTGGAGATATGAATGAGTCTAAAGTTCTGGTTTTTAAGAAGTCAAAACCCGTAGGCATGTTATGTGTTCTCATTTCTGTACTTGGACTGCTACCCTACTTTCCTTCTTCCAATTTTGCTGATAGTCTTTTTCCCGGCAACCAAACATCTAATCCGAGAAAAAGAAAGGTGGGAATTTGTGGTTTTCACTTTCCAGACAAACCCAAAGACATGAAATTCAGTTCCTGTTTCACAAATTGTTTTTCTCATCCATCAGAGACAACCATCATCAACATAAACATACAGGGTAAATAACAATATCAATCATGTTTTGATTTTCTTCTCTCTCTCTTGCTTGTACCTTTAACTATGTTTTGATTCAAAAGTTTAAGAGGAATTAGTGTTTCCAAGATTGAATTTTTCTTCTGTATATTCAACATTTTCTCTCTTTCTTTCAATGCAGAACCACATGGAGAAAATGATGAGAATTTTACTGTCTTCTCTTATAGTGAGCTCGCGCTTGCCACACGTGGATTCTCAGCTGCAAACAAGATCGGAGAAGGTGCCTTTGGTTGTGTCTACAAGGTTAAAAGTCTTGAATTTTACTAGAAAGTGAAGGAAAAAAAACAGTTTAATTTTTGTCTTGAAACTAATAATGATATTAAATTTGGGGTTCATTCATCTTTGTAGGGTTTGCTTGCAAATGGTTCTATTGTAGCTGTAAAAATGCTTTCTATCGAGCTCGAATCGATGCGTGGGGAAAGGGAGTTTGTATCTGAAATTTCTGCACTTACAACTCTCAAACATGATAATCTTGTTACACTTAAAGGCTGCTGTGTTGACGGAGCTACAAGGCTCTTGGTTTACAATTACATGGAAAATAATAGCCTGGCACAGATATTACTGGGTAAGATATTCTATATGAACAATTTGTGCTATAGAGATTTCATTCAATGAATTACAACAATGTAGAATACCCGAAATTGATCGGATGGTGAACGATATATTAGACAATTTTGGTTGCTCTGTATTCTGGATTTAATAGGTGGAGAGAAAAACAGGATCAAACTTGGTTGGGAAGCAAGGCGAGCGATTTCACTCGGAGTTGCTCGAGGGCTTGCATATCTTCATGAGGAAGTTAAGCCACGCATTGTGCACAGAGATATTAAAGCTAGCAACATTCTTTTGGATCAGAATTTAATACCGAAAGTTTCGGATTTTGGTCTTTCGAGAATTCTGAGGGATAATGCTTCTCATATTAGCACCCATGTTGCAGGCACATTGTAAGTGAGCATTGCTGGTTCTTTACCATAAACTTGATGAATATTTCTCGTGTGTAATTGAATTTATGCTCCTTGAAGTAACCGTGGCTAATGGAATTTCTTGCAAATGGCAAATGAGATAGAGGCTATATCGCCCCAGAGTACGCCTTCAGTGGACGTTTAACAAGAAAAACAGATGTTTACAGTTTTGGGGTCCTACTTTTGGAAATTATTAGCGGCCAGACGGTGGTCGATTTTGACCTAGAGCATGGTGAACATTACCTGGTTCAAAAGGTAGTGGTGCCGTAAATCTAATATTCCCATTCATGTTCCGAAAATATACTTTCGGACTAAATTACTAACCTGTGGACTTGATTATGTGTGGGAAACATGCAGGCATGGGAACTATACAGGGATAATAGGATTCTGCAATTGGTGGACCCTACAGTAGGTTTGAACTACCCCCAAGAAGATGCGATTCGATTCATCAAGGTGGGTCTCCTTTGCGTTCAAGAAAAAGCCCGGCTCCGACCAGAAATGTCGACGGCCCTGAAAATGTTGAGTAATGATGTTGACATTGAAAGAGTTCAGATTTCACAACCAGGTCTTGTTGCTGATCTGATGAATATCAAGTTGGGACAAAAGACAACGTTTCATAGCCTCTACACTAAAGCCTCAAATTTGGAAAACACCCCAAGCCCCCTCAGCTCATGCTCTTGACTTGGCTCTATTCTTTTGGGAGAAACCAATGACTGCTTGTTGACGGCACCGAAACTGTTAGAATACAGCCTGAAAATATTGTACAAAGAAAGAAGGAAAACACAGAGATATAACTCTTTCTCACAACAAATTTTCATTTTTTTCAGATCAAAATAAACATATTACAATTTGCTAGGGAATGAAACATCAAAACTCTCCCTTCTGCAGTGAAAGATGGAGAGAAAAAGGGGCCAGAAGCAAAAATAAGAACTAATACAAGAGTTTTGAGAAATTATTTTACATGTATCCTTCAGCTTATTCGTTAGAAATTAGAATGAAACGCACTTTCCATCTTCCCTGATTAAGGTAGCAGTATGCATGCATGGCTTCTCGCATGCCATTCACGAAGACCACCAGATTCTCGATAGGCTTTAAAAATGGCATATAGGGCACCAGATTCTCGATAGGCTTTACAAATGGCATATAGGGCGCCAGGCATGCAAAATATGCATTTAATATAATGCAAGCATGATGATATATGCATATAAAAATGAGTAGATGCATAAAATATATGTTAAGGCCCAAAACTGAATGATGATGGTGCTGCTTGAATAATGGTGTGTATGACAGTGAAGAAGCACCACATTGCAGGCAGGCATGAATATGTATACACACATAGCTGAGAAATGTCGGAGAAAATGAAAGAAAATTGCATTAGGAAAAGGAGGCAAAGGAGATATATATATAGTGAAAGAAAGAAAGAGGGTGACATCATGGATAAAACATGCAATTAGGCCATAATCAAGTTGGCTTGAAGGTGACTTTACACCCCCTCATAAGTCCCTTTCCTTTTGAGTTGTCAATTTGGGATATAGCTCTAAACACATGCTCAAGCCATATAATTTTCTACCCAAAAGGCCACCTTTTCCCACTTATGTCTCTTTAAACACTTAATAACTTGAGTTTTTTGAAGTGTAAGCTGTTTGGTGGTGTGAAAGAAAAAAAAAAGATGATGGGAAAAGTGAGTAGTTCTCTGAGGCCTTTATTGTTTGGTTTTTTTCTTCTCTTCTATCTTTTCAGTATCATAAAGCAAAGGTTCATTTGCAATTCTGAACAGATTTGTCTGCAAGTGCTTGGATGACATAGATTCCCATACCTGTACACCTGGTTTTCGAAACCTTTGTCACCATCTTCTTCTCTGCAGCTTTCCCTACCCATTCGGTATACCGTGGGGCCAAAATGTAGACCACAAACAATAGTCTGAAAAGGAATATGGTTCCAAATTCTTCAATTTGGTTCCATGATTGATGAACCAAGTTCCACCCCAAATGCTAGTTTTGATAGCTGCTACTAGAAATGCCTTGTTAGTGGCACCCTAACATCTTCTGAGGGTGTTTGAAGAAACTTTCCCTTAGGATCACCTGATAGCTATATATAATATTAATATACGTACATGTTAGTCACAAGTTGGTGCAAAAGGCTGCAAAAGTATCAATTTTGCTTTCCTGAATTGAACAAGAAAACAATGGACAGTAACATAAAGGGATGCATAAACTGTGTGGTCTTTGAAACTTGAAAGCAAGAACAAGTAAAAAAAATAGTATTGTTTTTGGAGTTGGAAGGTACTGCAAGTGCGAGAATCGTTGTGTTTTGTTGTCAGAAGTGGGAGTTGTTGGTTCGGCCCTTTGTGTTTGGCTTCACCTTGGACTCCATATTCTTCTCATTTGCACTCAAAGTTTGGGATTGAATCCACAGGGAAAATTTTTCTGGGGTTTTGGAAAAAGTTATTATTTTTATCAGTCGGTTAATCTTATTACATAGGTAGTAAGTAACTTAAGTATATTCTAAAAAGGAAGGAAATCAATTGAAATAAAATCGTAATCAAAAAATTTAGTCAGAGAATCCGGATTAATGATCTTTTTTAACATGTCTTATCCATAATCAGTTTTTCAATGGAATTACCTTACATGGAACTTGAAATTTAAAATAGCTGATGAAGAAGAAGATGAAAATCCAGTAGTCCCCTTTTATTTGTCCTAGGGGGTTTATTTACTAACCTTTAGGGTCAAATATAAGATCATGAAAACTACTCATAGATCAGATAATAGATTACGCAAATATGAATGCAGCAATTATATAATCAATGTGAGCCAAACAAATATGAATCATTGATCAATGATGACATCGACAGGATGATTCGATATTCATTACTTACTGAAATTACATATGCTGGTTCGCTGTAGCCTGTAGGTTGACAAGTTCAAATGAAACTGAGAATTGAAGAGATAAACAAGGTGATCATTTCATAGTTGATACCAGCTCATCATCATGCACTCTTATTAGGTCAAAAAAATCGATTCTTCTTCACTATGTGCCTATAATTGGGGGGGGGGGTGCAAAGATCACAAGATCAGTCCATCCTTCATGATTTGCTACAACAAAATTACCATTTCCGACATTGTCAGACGCTCACCAGGATCTTCTCTGACAGCCAACTCAGCTATATCCGCCAATTTCAGCGAAGGCTCGACGTTTCAGGGAGTGCAGCGTAACGATCGACAATGACAGCTGCCTTGCCCTGTTTAATTAAGGGAACTGCCCAATCAACTATGCTTGCAGGTGTATAATCTCTATTATAAGCTTTCCTTCCAGTGAGAATCTCCAACAAAACAATCCCAAAGCTGTACACATCACTTTTCATGTCTCCGTTAAGATCGAGATCCCTCTCGCTTGATGTAACAAGTCCGAAAACCGCGATTCGTGCTCCCCAATCCGAGTCCAAGAGAATGTTTGAAGCCTTGACATCGCGGTGGACTATCGGAGGCACAACTTCCTTGTGAAGGTATTTGAGTCCCCTCGCAGCCTTCAACAAGATCTTCAAACGAAGGCTCCAACTCAAAGAAGAAAGCCCTCCATGAAGGTGATCATGAAGTGTACCATGGGGCATATATTCATAAACAAGCAGCCTTTCCCTCTTCTCGGAGCAATAACCTAACAAATTCACAATATTGCAGTGTCTCACACTGCAAAGGATTTCAAGTTCCATCTCGAACTCACGACTGTTGGTGTGGATTATCGTGGCAGCATTCGGCCTCTTGATCGGAACTTGCCTCCCATCCGCTAGCACTGCTTTGTAAACAAAACCATAACTTCCCCTACCAAGCTCATTGAACTCCTTGAACCCGTTAGTGGCATCTTTTAACTCGGAAAGCCGGAAAATTTGAGCTGTTCCAGGACAAGGAGTGATTGAAACAGGAGAGAATGAATCAGCAGTGGTGTCACCATCCAACTGGTCTGGTTTGCCTATGCAAGACTTGAACTTTTTTTTTTTGGTCCCTTCTTCTGTTTTCGTCACAAACATTCGCGGAAGATAACACCAGCTAGGAAGTATCAGAAAAAACACAAATACACAAGCTAAGAAGTATAAAAAAAAACACAAATACACAAGAACCAACTATGATTACAAGCCTCCTCATGTGATGCCAGTGTTCATCTGGAGATGATGGGATCCCACAAACATCCCAACAAGAACTGTTTTGGCAAAGAGAGCAAGCTGTGCATATTCGGTCCGCGTTCTTAGTGCATGGACTAGACAAGAAGAAACCTGCGGAGCAATTCGATGCACAAGGTGAACAAATCTGCAAATCTTTCCCAACACACAAGCTAGTCAAATCTGGCTAGTTTAGGTTACTTGCATTGAAAGCAAACTCCCCTTGGGGCACAAAGTCGAACGACACAGACCAGGGCTGCATAATTCCAGAGGAGGATTATAATCAGGTTGCAAAGTGGTATTTCTAGACCAACGATGCAAAACCAAATCATCTTCCCTTATGCCGCGTGTAGTGAAGTCCGACGAAGCAAGTGCCATAAACCTGGAATGCTTCGGTACTGAAGAATAATTGAAGCTGCCTCAACATTCAACCCCATGATTGTCCTCTCGAATCCCGCAAAAAATATAAGCATCGGCCGTCAATGATATGAAACGGACCCCGATAGGAGGATCGGAAAATGAATCAGAATCACCCCAGCATCTAACTTCACCGGACAACTCCATGATTCCACAGATAGGACCTTTAGCTGAAGCTAAAATTAAAAAAACTCTCCGAAACATTTGAAACACATAAAACATCAGCAGTCGGTCCCCAACAAACAAGCCCTCCTTCTCTGATCCTACCACAACTAAACCCTTCACCAGAAACAATCTTATTGAAAGCAAGGGTATTAATACTCTGATTATAAAACAAAATACTCTGTTTTGAGGCGTTTTCCCCGAAAAATCACCGGTAATCGGTATATTTATCGATCTAACACCGGTCAGATTATATTTCCCGATCTAACACCGGTAGCAGTAAAGCGCGCCTCCTGTCCCGCGCTATATGCTCATTTGGCGCCACGTGGGGTAAGCGCGACCCCTGTACCGCGCTATACACTGACATGGGTTACACGTGTGTATAGCGCGCCCCCTGATCCGCGCTATACGTCACGTAGGGCCTCGCTATACCTGGTTATCTGACACGTGGGGTATAGCACGGTACAGGGAGCGCGCTATACCTTTAATTACCCACCCGTTCACACTCTCATCCTCCCTATAAATACCCCATCCTCAATTACTTTTATCACACCAAATTCTCTCAAATTTTCTCAATTTCTCTCAAATACTCTCTCTGTTTAAGGTATATTTTATAATATTTTTCATATTATGTATTTAATTTATTTAAGTATTTTACTTTATTTAATATTTTACTAATATAATTTTTTTACAGATATATAATGGAAGACAATCTACTTCGCTTGGATGGAAATCATATATCTCGATACTTTGTTGATACGGTAACATTTTAACGTTTTAATTTAATTTAAATTATTAGTAATAATTAGTTTATTTATTTAATGCATGATTATTATATTAAGAATTAATTTTTGTAATTATTTATTTTTAGGAGAAGGACCGTGTATTAGGTCCTTTTATTAGGAATCTTAAGTTAGTGATACCTAGTCGTGTCTTGCCGTATTTAGTAGAGGCTGGATTTGGTTACATAGGTAAATATTAGGGTCACTGTAAGAACCAGACCTTATTTCTGCCTTAGTAGAGCGGTGGAGGCCGGAGACCCACACATTCTATCTTCCGTGCGGAGAGTGCACGATCACGTTTGAGGATGTTTCTATGCACCTGGGGCTTTCGATGGATGGATATGTGATATCAGGGATAGCTTCCGGTTCTTGGACTACTTTGTGCCGGGATAATCTAGGACGTGTCCCGGAAATTTTTATCGGAGGTAGGATACCGTTAAATTGGTTAGATGCCAATTTTCGGGAGTTGAGCGCAGACGCCTCTGAGGATGAGGTTAAGATGTATGCACGGGCATGCATATTGCAATTGATAGGAGGGTTGCTGATGCCAGACAAATCGCGCAACCTAGTTCACTGCATGTGGTTGCGACATCTTAGCGAATTTCATCTCGCCGAATCATTCAGTTGGGGCTCGGCAGTTTTGGCTTTGCTGTACAGGGAGATGTGTGGAGCCATTGACTACAGGCGTAATGCTATCGGCGGATGTCTCCTACTGCTGCAGTCTTGGGCATGGTATCGATTTCCCTTTTTATGTCCCGTTGTGAAGAACTCATTCGTATTTCCACTACTTCTAAGGTAATTATAAAAATGATTTTGTATATTAATAATTTTATACAGCGTATAATAAATTTTTTTCCTTGAATAGGTGGTCTACTGATAGGAAAAATCATCAGGAGCTACCTGATGATTTAGAAAAAATTAGGGTGCTAATCGATCAGAAGGCTGACACACAGGTATGAATTTTAATGTTTAAAAATCGATTTTAGATTATAGTTATATAATTAGATTATTATTTTTATAAAAATTATATATTATTTGTTTTAGTTTGAATGGGTGTCATATTCTACTGATGATGTGATGGCGATGATCCCACCTAAGTTGAGGGGTCCATCAGATATTTGGATGGAGATGGTCCCTCTAATCTGTTATGCGACCGTCGAGTGGCACTCCAATGATCGCGTGCTCTGGCAGTTTGGTTGTTTTCAACCAATTTCGGAAGTACCTCGCAATATGGACGAGTTGCATAGCTTAGATAGACGCGGCAAGACATATACAGATTGGCTGGTGAGGCATCATGAGTGGGTCGTGTTTTGGGAGGATCGACATCGGCGTCTTCCCCGTAGAGAGCCCATTTTTACTAACTTCTTGATGATTGTTGAGGGTTATTATGAGTGGTTCAACAGTAACGGGAAACCGTTTCTACTTCCCGAGGATGCACGAGGGCGGACCTTTCCACGAAGTTGACAGAGAGATTCACCGACACAGCACCATCGTCCCCCGACTCGTGGACGGAGAGCAGGTGCTTCCGGTTCATCCTCAGCTGCACCAGCAGAACCTTCACAGCAGCCACCGTAACCATTTGTGATGCCGCAGCCATATATGATGACGCCATTGCCTTTCCATTACCAGATGTCGCCGCCTTCACCTGGTTTTATGACCCCGCCGCCACCACCTTCACAGATGACCCATCCTGGAGGCTATTATAGGTTTATGTTTATAGATTCGACTTGGGGTTCATATACTACATATTTGGCGGGTTCAGCCTCATCACCCATGGCCGCAGCACAGACACCTCCTGTACAATTTTCACACTCAACGATGTCTGGGTTTTCCCAGTTTTCCAGTTTTTGCAGGCCGGTGGGATAGTCAGTCATACACCTCCAGGGTCCTTATTCTATGGAGGTGCTTCATCGTCATCAGCTCCTTATCAACCTAATGTATCTGCTCAGGACGACGACGACGACGAAGACGGTGATGATGATGACAGCGAGGAGTCAGAACCCGTGATACAAAGAAATCCTCCTCGAGACCAACAGCCACCGCCCTGCGGAACACATTCACGTCGCAGGCATCGGTAGATTTTTTTTATTATATTTGTATTTACTTTATTTTGTTAAATTGTAATTTTTTATTATTTCTCATTTAATGCTTACTTTATTTTGTTAAATTTGTTGGACTTTTTTTAATGTATTTCATTTAATTTTGTTTATTACCATTTAATATCAGTTATTGTAATTTGGTTATCATTTAATACTTATTGTAAGTTTGTTGTATTTAAAATTATATTCAAATACCAATTTGGTTATCATTAACTTGAAGTAAATGCAAATTAAAGTACAAGAATTATTATTTGATAAACAAATACATTATTTCCTCATCAATTGTTACTTGATGACAACAGAAGTGGACATGTTTTTCTCGTGTGTCCTGGGTTTCTACAATGCCCACATCTTCTGTCTTGTCTAGATCTTTCTCGAATATCCATATCGCAATGAATTCGATTGGATTTTGGACGACCACGCTCCCTCAATAAACTCGGATTTGGTACAATCAGAAGACAATCTTGAACCTCATCAGGGTCTTTGTCATTACCTATGGGGGGAAACTCAAATTCATATACCTTAAAAACTTCAGATAGTAGGTATACGGGATCCACAAAATGGTTATAGTATTGACGTATGTGCGAGCAAGTTGCTATCACATGAGAGCATAGATACTTCAGAGCTTGAAAAAACCCGCAGTCGCACGTTCTGTCCCTTAGATTTACTCTTAACGACACAGCTTCAATCTCTTGAAGAGGTCGCGGCAACTTTGTGACACGAAACATTTCATGCCTTCTAGAGAAGCTTGTTACAGACATTCCATTTGATGCAATAATTTTTTTCTGTAGATCTGCAACTAATCTAGGGTGATAATATGTAGTTTTTACCAAAGCCGCTACAGATAAGTGACGTGCACCCTTTAAGGTTGAATTGATTGCCTCAGCCAAGTTGGTCGTCATGTGTCCATATCGATATCCACCATCATATGCGTTCGTCTACATTTCTTTATCGATGAGGCTGATGTAATCGTATCCTTCCTCGTTCTTCGCCCGCAAATCTTGAAGCATTGATTCAAACGTTCGAGGAAGTAGTTCGTAACCTGATCAAAAAATGTATAACTTACTACCTTGTTTTCTTTGCAAAATTAAAATGATAAAAAAATGTATAACTTACTAACTTCCTTTCACTTACCCATGTGCATAATTAATTGACACTCATCATTCTTCTTGTACCTTCCATGATAGTTCGCAACAATGTGTCGGAGACAATACCTATGTTGGACAAAGGGTGGTTGCCACATTGGACCCAAAGACTCCATTGCTTTTTTGATCTCAGCTCCTCGATCTGAAATGACACATATGTTTTCCCTCGTGATAACATGTGCACGTAAATTTCGGAGGAAAAAAGCCCAAGAATATGTATCTTCTCCTTCGACAAAAGCAAAAGCAACTTGAAGAATGTTGCGATTGACATCTTGGACAACTGCCAATAATAAAACTTGCTTGTATTTTCTATACAAGAAAGTCCCGTCGATCTGGACCACAGGCTTGCAGTATTTGGCAGCATTAATGCACTGTGGGTAACTCCAAAAAACCCGATAGAATTGGCTTCGATTGCGAAGAACTCGATCATTATGGTATGGATAGGAGGTTTTGAAGTCCACAATTATTCCAGGATTCAATGTCCGCACCAGCCTAAACCAACCTGGAAGTTCGTTGTAAGATGCATCCCATTCGCCATGAAGTTTGACAATGGCATTTTGTTTTGCCAACCAAGCTTTTTTATAGGAGACAGTGCACCCATACTACGATTGTATAGCTGAAATCAACACTGCAACAGCTATATGAGAGCTTGCTTTTACCATGGGCATGATGGCTTGGCATATCATTTCAGAGTCAAAGTTGGGATGATCTTAGTTGCCCCTCCAGCACAACATGTGTGAGGACCGTTGTATACTGTTAGTTCCCATATATTG